GTGCTTGTTTAGGTATTTTCAAAAATAATTATTTAATATTGTTATTGTTTGACCAGTTTATATGTCTGTTCTGAGTTAGCAATGAATGCTTGGGCCATGCAAATAGTTGTTGCTGTGTAAACGAACACTTTTCCATGTTCATATAATTCTCCTTTGACAAGTTCTCAGAGGTAAACACATTATAGTAAATCTGTCTGTTTACAGACAGCTGGGCAGGAATGTAAATCTGTTAAATGTCTGTACAAAATAGAAGTGGTTTCTAAAAAACCTTAACTTCATTAATATGCCTTTTACTGCCCTTTAACACCACACTTTGTGTATAACTATCAAAAGCAACAGCAAAAAGTATTTACACAATATAGGGAAAAAACCCTCCCAACTCTCTAATAATGACAATAACCTTAGCCAAGGATATATCTCTATTTCTCTAAAATTAATAACTAGCCAGGGTTAATGGCCACTGGCTTCACCTTAGGCCCTCAATTAATCCCTGAACCTCAATTGTTATTACCTAATTGACTTAGTTTCATTTCATTTTAACATTTCAAAGTGATATTCCTAAAATCACACTGACAGAGTAACGTGGTCTCTGTAGATATGCACTGACATGGTTTCAATACTGTTACTTCATCTCCATACGCTTGCATTGACATTTCATTTTGCATTGACATCGCAGTGCCACAGCTATGGATCTGTGCAGATGACATGCGATTGTTCACATTAGGCAAAAGCCCAGGAGCAAGGGCAGGCTGGCATCTTCTGCAGGGACATAAGATGCTGGCTGAGAGCTACTAAGAATTACTGTTATCATTTTTATAACTGTTAACATTGTAAATATGATTTGTATGCTTGTAAACAGAAGAAATATCAAATTACTTGAAATCTTGCTGGTTTTCTTAAATAAACACATAAACAAATATTAAAAAATTTTGATCTAAGRACCTAGCCTGAAAAATGCACCAGGTAATGTACTTAAAAAGAGCTTCACTGATATTACTACTCGATGCTTATTTGAGACTGCAAAAAAATTATGCAAATCTTGTATGTTCAAATATCATCACATTAACGCAAGTAGCTGAATACTGCAAGATGCAACACTAAAGCAAGAAATCCTCATAAAAATAGGGCASCAAAATAAAGTCTTTTTATTATGTGGAAAAGTTTTTGAAAAGTCTTTTGAAGCTCTTTGATCCAGCTCTGGAATAATTTTGGTAGATTACTATTGTAGAAACCCCATAATTTATAGTAGCTGACCTCAGCTGCTCTTTGTATAACAGCCATATATGAAACAATAGCAGGAAAGTGAAAAATACAAGAGGAACTAAAACTGCTCTGTTTATTATGTAGCTCATAATTACATCTTCCTTATTTAATCTTTTGAATCCTGGCATGTTTTTAATAATACAGGTTCAATTAATATTTACTATACACAGGAGAGTTGGTTTTGAGTAAAGCATTTAGACTATCCAAACTTTGTGTAACTTGTGACCTTTCCCTAACCTAAGCGAGATCTATTTTATACAGATCGTACTAGATAGACGGTTTCTCTATAAATGGTGAAGTTGCTGCCAAGCTCCCATTGTTAGCTAGTTCATTTTTCAACAGGCACACTTTAGGTTCCTATCGCACCACTGTAAAGAGCAAACCCTTGAGGTTTCTTCTTTTGTCAATGTAATAAAAAGGTTATTTCTGAATAACCTGCAAATCCACAACAAATGGCCCTTTGTGACTTAGAATAACATGATAGGATGAATATTTTTGTTCTTTTTGCAGGCAGCCTCCCATTTTATTCTGTAATATTAAATCAATATTTAAGCAGCATTTTTCCTAATGTAATTTATCTCATTCTCAAAATAAGAAACTATTGTTTCTAACAGTTGTTGCCCTAGCTCAGTATTCACCATCTACTCTTAAGTAGAAGATCCCTTCAGAAGAAGCTATCTAAATAGTAAGRCTACGTCAGATGAAACATCACCAAGAATCAAGTTAAATTCTGTGTACTTTTTCTTGACCCTTGAGGAATTATCAACTCTGGTAAATAACAACAACCTGTAGGATGTACAAGCTTTTGGCACGTTTACCATGATGTGGAAATGGGGAGATAGCCATCTTTTCCAATCTGAACCAAGKAGATCTTGGCACAGGAGAAAAGCTAAACCTTAAACTCCAACAGATTTCCTTGGAGAAGTCCTGSACAAACAAGGCATGAGCTCACAGAAAGCAAGGCTCCTTAATGAAAGAGATGCTTTAACAGCTGAATTCCTAWTATTGCTATGTCTGTTTTCTTGTAACTCAGACAACTAATAGCTTAATCCTTTGTACAACTGTACCCTCAATAGAGGAGTGCGTGATTATTCTGCACTAGTGTTCTGTTTGGTGAACACTCCCAGCCTGTAGAAATGACCTGTGCTTCATACCAAAAGAATGAAGAGAAGCATCACAATGGTTCTCCATTACAAAACCATGTGAAAATTTCAGGACAGTTTCCCTGGAATCTAGAGCTGCTATTTAAATTAAGAGTAAGAGCAAAATTGCTTTAGGTGGTTGGTCAGTCCAAATGCATACAGAAACAGAACTCTTCAGATGTTATAACAGAAACAGAAGCAGGCAGTAGGAAACATGGGACAAACTTTTCAAACAGGACACATGAACAAGTGGGAGGATACTGAGTAAACAGATGTGAAATGGTTAAAATAAGATGGAAAATTAAAAGGGGAGGATTGAGTGTCAAATGGAAGGAGGCATGAATAGTAATTGCAGTAGTCTAGATGGTGGAGAGATTCAAAAGCCAATATCAGGAAAGAATGACTTTCCAAATGAGCAAATACAACAGAATGAAAACTATGCATGAACTACCAGAACTATCAACGTAACGAGGTAAGCACAATAAGACCTTTGGTCCCTTTTCTTCAGCTTTAGACAAAAGTTCTTCTGCTTTAGGGAAAGATTATGAAACTAATACTAACAATTTATCCCCATAAAATACCAATGGTAAAGCCTTTGTTTTCTTACTATACTASAGTGTGTGACCTACCGTTGTGTTGCTCCCCCTGTTCAAGGAAGTTTAACTTCCCTGCTCAATACAATTACATCAATTCCTGAAACTCAGAGCAGGCCTTATAACAGTGGTTTAAAGAGCAGATGCTTGCAAATCTGTATATGCCAATGAGCACATCATTCAGTTTTATGTTCMCTTCTGTTTTCTGGCTTGGCATAATTCATTAGCACACTCTACAGAATACTCCATAAAACTGAATTTGGCTTTAGTGCTAAGGTTCTAATAGCCACAACATTGTTTAAGAAAACAAATCCAAGAAAAAAACTCACAAACAGCAGTGCCTCCTCTTTAATATTAAAGCTGATGTTTACATCTGATAAACAGAAAATACGCAAATGAGGGGTTCTTTTGCAGTATACAAGTAGTAATAACAACACAGTCCTATTTTTTTTTTGTTTTGCTTTCAGCATTTGAAACAGTGACACAAGATAGTTTTTTAGTGGCACAACTTTTTTGATAACATGCAATGAAATTAATACAGTATATAGACTTTTGTGGCTAATTTCATTCTCATTCTAATATGAAGATTCTTAAAGTGGGCACTATACAAAAATGAATTCAAAGCTCTGATTAAAGAGAGCTGTATTGCTTTCCAACCTGTTATATCACAGCACTAGGTAGAGGAATAAATAAACAAATATAAGCCTAACCTGATTTATCTGTGTGTTTCCACATAAATTTGTTTAATGCAAAAACAAATAAAGCAAAGCTTTGATGGAGGTTAGGAGAATTTTCAACATCTGTGCAGATAAATTTAATTTATTCAAAAAGAAAATGCAGCATTAGTGTATCATGTAAAAGCTGATTTAAATGATTTCATACAAAAGAAAGCATATGCAGTAGCTAAAATTTTGTTTGCCTTTAGAACCCATTTCACTAAGACAACCATTACTTCTGAATTTTCTACTATGATAATTTCTTCCTTTTTATTCTCTACTTGATTTTACACATTCCACTAACCTAAACCATAGTGAAAAGTCCAGGGGGAGTAACACCTCAAATGCAGCTTGTGTGTAGCAGGCAGATACATTCACAGATTGGTTATGTGTATCTTTATGGGCAGATCCTTAAAGAGCTGSTCAGGTAAAATAAGCTCGGCACAATACCTTAAATAGTTGAACATAAATGAGTTACAGGCTTTTATCAATAACACACTCAACACAGGAAAACACAGTAACACACTCAAACCCAGGAAAACGTACAACAATAACTCACTATAGTGGAGCTATACTAGCTTATCTCTGCAGCAAGGGACAGGGTACTAGTAGATTGAAGACTTTTTTTCTTGCAAATGAAAGATTAGTCAAAATTATAAATTCCTGTCTGAAACTCACGAGAAAGTGTTAAGGTGAGAACTAAAAATTAAAAATAAAAATACTGTCWAAGCATCTGAAAACTACAGCTGAAAAACTCCTGAATAGGATTAATATCCTTTGAACTCAAGGCAAGACAAAAAAGTCTGCACATGATTTTTGAGATCATACAGGCAGACAAAGTATCACCTCAACTAAAAAACGTGATGAATRTGCACTGCAATGTTTTAGAGACCCTTTCTTTCTGGAAAAGGTCATCAACTTGTGCTTTAGGGAGACTGCTATCACACCTTGAATTCTACAACAGAATCCATAGCTCTTCTTCTTAGAAAATCTGAACATGATGAGCATACATGCGAATCTCTCTTAAAACATTTTGTCCTTCCCTGAACACCAGTTGGCAAGAAAAGTGTATTGAAGAATGTGAAGCCCAATATGCTGCTAAAATGTCCGAGAGCACAAACCTCTCAGGATTGTGTACACAATCCCGGCCTTCTGAGTGATGATATGAATGGAAAAAGAAGGGACTGAACTCAGAACTTCAAGAAAGGCTAACGTCCACCTCAATGAACTTCTGATCTTGGTTCTAACAAGAGAAAAACAAGTAAGAAAACAAGTACACAGGAAACTTCTGACCATTTGTGTGCTTTATTTGTTTCATGGAACTGATCCAGTATGAAGCACTTTTATCCGTTTTTTAATTCCTCTTCTTCAACACCAGGATGGTAAACTTCAGAAATAACTCACATAGAGAGCTCTTGCACATTATTCTTTTGGACTTCACTGTGACAGAAAGTTGCTACAATACCTATAGGAGTCAAGACAGATTCCTTCCTTAGTCAGATAAGACAAAAAATTCCTAGGTACAGATTCCCTGGGGGTAAGGGAACGAAAAAGACAAAACACAAGTTATTTCTGAGTCATTAAAATACTTATTAAACCTCCCCCAAAACTACCCCCAAACTTCACAGGCTAATACAATAAAACATGTGTTCTTCACTTTCACCCCCTCTCAAAATCCCCTAAGTTGGATTATTTTTTAACGGTTAACTTGGGATTCCATTGTTGATTTTTCAGTGACAGAACATACCACTCATTCTCTCAAAATCTGGCTATTTAGTGTAACAGCCAAGATCCTCTCTTACCACTTGGGCTTCATCAGCATTGCATTATATTGGTTTAAGCCCCAAAAWACCAGTCTTTACCAAATCTCCACATCACTGTAGGTGTTTTAGTCACATCACTAGCACATAGTGAATTCACAAAAGCACTCAATTTTATAGGTGACTTTGTCACAGGGAGAAGAACTGAAAGCTCCACCTTTCAGACTCTGCATTTTTGTCTTTGTTTAGAATGCCTGAAGAAGCCATCYGGAAGGAAGAAAGATTATGAGTGTCTCGAAACTAGCTGTTTGACAGAGACAGAACTGCTGATAATGAGTGGGTTGTGTCTGTCTTTTTTGGCTGATCACAACAGAGGTCTGAAGCAAAACAGAAACTCTTGATATGTTTGTGTAAAACAGCAGTAGCATAAGGCGGGCAGCAGGAGTTCAGCTGAAGTTCAGGGCAGATGCTGCCATTAGTTTACACTGCAGGAAAGTAAAATTGCTTCCGGATTTACCTCTTCCTCCCACATCAGCGCTGAGCCATGCTGTGTCGCAGAGTCACAATGTCAGTAGGGAAGCAGTCTTTTAGCAGGATACCACGTTCACGATGGCAGTCCAGCTCTTCAATAAATCCGTACCAGTAGATGACTAATCCAGGGCCAAATCTATCAAGCAAAAAGGAAAAATGAACTTATTCATTCTAGTTGTGTTAGAGGAATTTTCATTTCCCACCTCTGTGATTACAGCACAAATCTTGTAATTTCACTGTAAAGCTGGAGGGAGTATTTGACCTCCACATAATTTTCATATTTTGAATGTGCAATTGGTCGATCTCAATAGTACCTGATTCCACGAATAAAAATAAAGAATCCACATCAGAGTTTCAGTTTTTCCTTTGAATACTCTACACGTGTCAGTAAAAAATATCTACAAATTAAATACTAAGTAACATTCAGTTACTGTCATATACAGAGAAAMCTCTTTTGCTATGCATGCTGCTCTTTTAGATTTGTGTGTGCAGACATTAAAAACACAAGGGTTTGCACATGTCCCAGTTAATTCAAACTATAATACCAGGAAGSTAACAAAGTATCCTTAAAACACAATCTCTACAATGAGATATTATTCAGGTAATTATTAACATAAAGCACAGTTCAGAAGAAATAGAAAGTTTGTGCTGTAATGTCTCTGAAACGTGCCTCAGGAATTCCTCAGATATTGCTAACTCTGACTGATCCCCACTAGGCAATCTCAGGAAGTAGCCCCATGGACTATTTTACCCATCAGGAAGTTCAGACCTTCAGGCTGGGTTCATAAAGAAGTAATCACTATCAATCACTGTGTACTGCGATATGYTTTGCACATCAGTTTCACGTTTTTCCTACTGAGAGCACTTAATTAAAGGGCAGCACTACTTCTGGTGTAGTGTTGCAGGAATTTTACAGTGGAATCATAAATTATGAATGTTGGGTTAGTAAAAGGATGTCTAAAAACAGAACTGCTTTCTGTAGTCTAACATTACAGCAGTCTGTACAACATTAGGCCAAAAAGCTTTTTCTTTCCTTGATTTATTATATGCTGTAGTGAACTTGCCAAAACCAACAGTGCAGGATGAACTGTTAGGTACCGTCTGTACAAGAAGAGGTTCAATAGAATGTCATGTAATGGTTTATATGCAGAGTTGTACTCGTGACTCAACCAATATGGTAGCCAATTTTTGTTGTATTTAATTATAATAAATATGTGCTGCAGGGAAGGCATGGTAACCTTAATGTCCACTGAGCAGACAATACAAGCACTCAAAGCCATGGGTAGTGCCAGACTGGTTTCATGAGGGTGGTTTCTTTCCAACAATGTGGGGAAAACTCTATTTGATGTGCTCATGTAATGGAATAGGCATCAAAGGAAGAAGAAACCCCTGTGGCTTCCTCCTGCAGTTTCAATTAGATACAGTACTCTTTTGCCTGAAACTGCTGAAGAGCATTGTAACATTTAGTCTATGGCTACTACTCTTCAACCTCCAAACAGCCAGAGTGCAGTGGCAGAGYAAATTACCCCTCAGCAGAGCTGGGGCCACACTGGCAAATATGATTTTGCAACGAAAGGTGATATACTTGAAAGTTGAAAGGTTAAAACTCTGACACATCTGGTTGTACTAGATAGCACATCCTAACATGCTTAGCAATAAATACAGCACAGACTAAAAAGTGGCTGATATGAAGGACGATGTTCCTGTATCCAATTCCTAAGTTTTTCCTGGCTGGCCAACAACTTCAGCTTCTATAGACTTCTCTCCATTGGCCTTTGCTTAAACTCCTGTGGGGCCAAAATGTGCAGAACCTCACTGTACCTGCAAGCCTGGAGACCCAAGCAGGAGTGAGGGCCCAAGATAAGTGAGGCCAAGGACTGATGCTCGCAGCCTCTGGTGAGAGACAGCAGTTTGTTGATGCAGGAGGGGTCCCTACTTTTGTCACTTCACAGACTACATATCTGTTCCCACATCAAGCAAATACAGAAACGGGTAATTGGGTGGGGATGTACTGGCATTAACCAAAGTTATTTTAAAAGCAAAAATCCCCAGAAGATAGGGATCAGACCTTATATTTCTAATGGGCTATTTTGTGCAAGGCAGAAGGTATGAAATGTATGCAAGTAGTTACTCATTACAAGCACATGTGCCAGGTAAAATTCTGATGCTAATGAGCAGCTGCTCACCCAAGTTTTKAAGGGATCATTTTGCTGTGTGGCAGTCTGAATCTCCCGTACACCATAAAATGCATGTGGCACTGTGCTTAAGCAATTTGCTTAGTTATCTTCTGAAACTGTAATTTGAAATAAAATTACTATTTCAAGACACCTCAAAAGGCTAATTTATGTCTTGTGAACAAATCACCTTAGCTCAATTAAGCACAATTTTTGAGGTGCTTAAAAATTATGTTCAGAAATAGCAAATTTGATAATAAAATTATATACAAGAACATCTGTAGACTGCTAATGGCAGGAGCAAGTACATCTTTAGCACGAAAACATACATCAATTCTGCYTTTGACTATGGTGCTACAGAAAAACTGCCCTGTGCTGTCTAGGTTGCCCTTTTTCAACTGCATTGTGTCATTCCTTCTATTATAGCTCTGCATCAGACAGTTCATGTGTATGATCACACAAAACCACATGCTATACCTTTGTTCAAAAACACTTAAGTGCAGCACTTAAGACCAAAATTTACTTGTTGGCACATTAAGCATTTGGCCACTGACTATCAGGAACTCCTGCTGCTAAGTGCTAATTTCTCTCTCATTAACACCCAGAGTCGGCAAACCACAAACAATGCCACTGGTTAATTACTGCTGCCCTAATTTGAAAAGACACTTAACCTTTTTGTGTAAGGGGATGAGGTAGGGAAGTGTAACCTAAAAGTAACAACAGTACTTTTTACTTTGACTTCTTCCCAAGCTGAGATATCATACCTGAGGAACAAAGTCAGTGCCAAGAATTAAAATGTACAGCTACAAATTGATTTCTTGTATCAGTTGTAACATCGAACAAGTTAGTGACTGACCATGGTTTACAAGGAAGAATGAACCAAAATGGCAGAATGTTTACTGGTATTGCTGTGCAAAGGGGAAGCATTCAGTAGCTGCGAGGAGCATAGAAAAACTTGGTTCTAAAACCATACAGCTACAAGACAGGCCGGGTTATCTTATTCCATGAAAGACACACTGGAGAAAGTTAAGTCTTAAACTGAAAATTAACTTAGTAGTAACAAACTATTGAACTCCAAGGGATTTTTTCTTGCTGAGAAAAATTGTATAAATCCCTGAAAATATGCTTGTATTTTTCCTCCTGTCTTTAGCTCTTAGGTGTGAAAAATTTAGGTGTGGAGGAACATGTCCAAAAGTTATACAAAACAGTAGTTCTAGCTATTCCAGGGAAAGTACTGCTTTTAGAACTTTACTTTTATAAGGGGTTTATTTTTAAAGCTGAGAGGAAATCCAAGTAACTAAGGTTTTAATTCCATGCAGTAAAAATAGAAAAAAMCAGAAAATACAGAGGCAAATTCCTTCAGAAAATAATAAACATAGCAAATGAAAATTGTCCACACAGGTTGTATCAGCTAACCTTAAAATCAACCAGTGAATTGGTAGCTACCTTTACACAGAATCTGGTTTAGTCACTGTCCAGTTTTGAAATTCAAAGTTGGAACTATAAGGCAGCCAAARCCAACTCAGCTGCACTTGGGTATGAATACCAGAAGTGCCAACAGGGAGGCGCAGACAGGCTTATGACTCCAAGGCATGGCAAGACAAGAGCAGCATTACAAAMGCTCGTGGATTACTTTAGGCCTAATTTAGGTTTGATATAGATAACTAAATTTAGTCCAAGTACTAAAGGCAGCAGATGGTGTCTTTCAAAGAATCAACTGAAGCATTTGAGATAGAAAAATACAGTTTCAGTATAGTTAAAAATAGTTGCAGTCTCAAAAAGTTCTTTAGATAAAACTTACATCTGACCATACATTTTGCTCTAAGTAAACCAGGTTTGCATTAATTTCGGGTTGTTCAGAGGAACTCTTGTACTGGTTTAATCACACAAATTTTGAAAGAAATCCCGAGCTAAAGTAGTACACTAATAATCCTGGGACACCAAGTTTTGGAAAGGAGTTTCACAGAGATTCAGATAACCGAAGGCAAATGGTTGTCTTAAGAACAAAAACCCAGTAACAACAAACTAAAAAGGGGATCACTTTAAAAAAAAGGAAAGAAAACAACTAAGTAAAATATGGATCTGGGTTTAACTTGCCCTCCAGTTGAACCAGTTTTGTGCTAGAACAGATAAAAGACTTTTATTTATTTATCAGAGTGGCCTAGTAGGCTCACACATATTCTCCTTCACTTCAACAGAAACTACTTTCTAGCAATGTCTTTTCTTCTGGAATGTCTGTGTGAGGTCCATACCAGCTTCTAAGTATTTGCCTAGACATGTGGCTGTGGTGAGGTGATTTTTTCACCATCACAAAGCCTTGCATGTGGTTTTATGAAAAATGCATTTTCAACACATTGCTTGATACTGAACAGAAATGTAAAACAACTTGGAATTGTTTTTAAATACATGTTCACTTCATTTATTCTTAGTCTATTTGTTATAGATGTGCTGTATGCATCTCAGCATAATGTAAATAATTTGAATTCCAAAAGACTCTCATAATAAAATGCTGGCATATGAATTATTATTTCTAATAAGCATGCATTGAAACAAATATTTTATCAAGTGGATTCAGCCCAGTATTAATGTTATGAAAGTATAACAGTCTACCTGGTTGGTGATTTTAATTATGAAGGTCATGCCTGAATGTGTCTCTTAAGGATTGCATTCTAGTCCCTCACTTTTCAAYGTCAGCTAAAAAGCTGGCTTTGTTTCCTTGTTTTTCTTTTTAAATATGAAGCAAATTGAAGCACTACCATTTGTACATCACTCCTTATTTTCTGGGGAAGGGAATTACAATAGTTCACAAATAAATTTTTATATTCTAAGTCAATTTAACATCATTCTTCATAATCACAGCTGTGAGTAAACAGGTTTTACTTATGGCACTATCAAACCCTGAAGATAAAATAATTAACCCCCCTATAAAAACACATAGTAAGTTTACTGTTTAAAGACACTC